TCCTCCTCCTCCTCATCATCATTATTATCATTATCAATATCATCTTTACATTCGCTGTTATTGTTATTTTTATCAATAAAATAAAAAGAAATAACAATTATCATCATGAGTATTATTACTATTATCATAATTGCTTGTATTATTATTCCCTTACTCTTACTGTTATTCTCATGATATTGATTACCATCATTATCATTACCATCATCATCATTATAACTATTATGCACTATCATTATCGCTATTATTTACTATCATCATCATTATTTTATTATAATGATATTATTTTTTGCTGTTTTTTGCAATCATTAATTCATCAATTACTATACTTGATGTCGAATATCAATATTATTACGTTTTTTCTCTCTTTAAGATGACCTGATTTCTACACATTTAGTCTCAAAAACAGGCAGCTCCTGTGACTTTTTTTTTATATATATTGTCGTGTGTTCTACTTGTTGGCAATGCTGGAAACTGCTGTTGAAGTTCATGTGAGACATAGATGAACCAGACAGACGAACAGATAGGTGGACAGACAGACAGACAGGGAGAGAGAGAGAGAGAGGAGAGGAGGAGGAGGAGGAGGAGGAGGAGGAGGAGGAGGAGGAGGAGGAAGGAGGAGGAGGAGGAGGAGGAGGAGGAGGAGGTTGAGGAGGGAGGGGAGGGAGCTTTACTCGAGATAGAAGTAGCTTTTTTCCCTAAAATATTAAGAGCTGAATTAAGTTTTCAACTTTTTCACAAGTACAAAACATGCACTTTTTTGGATAACCCCCCCCTCTTCCCCTCAAAACGAGTACAAGAAACTGTTGTTGTACGCGAAGGTTACTTTATTCCTGTCACCTTTGAATGGAACATCTCAAAGTGCTGAATAAAAGGATGGAATATATACCACTGTTTGCTCTTACGTGGGAGGCAAAAGAGTACCCGTATGTTCAGCCTGACTATTGTGCATTTTCATGCAGTATGGAAAACCCTTTGGTTTCTGAATCACTGGACATAGAGGCGCTTATTGCATGCGCGGTCGACATTTTTTTATTTTGCGTACACCAGTCCCTGCTCCCCTCACCCCCCCCCCCCCAAGCGTACGGTTTGTACGCATGTAAAGATGTTGAAAATTGAGCCAAACCTAAAACGGAAACATGCTAGCAGTCGAAACAAAACACATCAGCCTTCAACTTTTTAAATGGCAGGTGTCTCGAAACTGGCAGACATACTAATATTTGCGCACCTACATTCGGGAAAGTTAAAGAAAGAAAATAATAATAATAATAATAATGATGATAATGATAATAAAGACTGACGGCGAGAAGCAACCCGAGATGGACTGCACACGATGGCGCTGTCACGATAACTCACAATTCCTTAAGGATCTTCTTTTCATCTGGAACGAAAGGCACATCACGCAGCGAGAACTTAGCGAGGTCGATCACCATGAAGAAGAACAAACATATATAATATAGTAATAAAAATAAATAAATAATAACAGGTAACTGCGATTAACCTCAATTCTCTCATTACTGATTTGATGCGAGTCACAACTCTTATTACGAACACACACTAATATGCGAGTAAACACGATCACATGAAACACGACACGACCACCGCGTCCATCAAACCCAAACGACTCCCATTAACGAACGACGACCGACCAGGTCGAGCACGACGCAGCGGCGACTGGCAGGACGCGGCGTCTCTCGTGTTCCAAAAGCTGTTTTTGCCGCTGCTTTTTCTTTGTTCTTTGGTTTAGAGGAATGTGAATTGTCTCTTTATTCTATTACTATTATCTTTATTACTAGATTATTGTCATTATTACTTTCATTATATTATCATTAATTAATTATTATTATTATTATTATTATTATTATTATTATTATTATTATTATTATTATTATTATTATTATTCATTATTATTATTATTGTTATTCATTATTATTATATTTGTATATTATTTTTGTTATCATTTTTTTTTATTAGTAGTATTTTTTTCATTAACATTTTCAGTACTTTTTATTATCATTGTTATTTTATTTCTATTATCACTATTCTTACCATTACTATATTTGTTATTATTTTTTTTTTTTTCATTATCATTATTATTGTTATCACTATTGTAGTTACTATTACATTCATTATCATTTCATTATTATTCTCATTGTCGTTGTCAGTGATCATTATATAATCATCATTATTATGATTATCATTGTTAGCATTAATATAACTATCATCATTACCATTATTATCATTGTTCTTACTCTAACTACTATCAATACCATTATCATTATCATAATTTAAATTTTTATTATCTTATCATTTTTTGTCATTATTCCGATCGTCATGATTTACATAATTTTTACTATTTTATTATAATTGTTATCTTTGTCACTTCTTGAATCCTTGTCCTTTTGTGAAAAAAAGAAACAAAAGATTCTATGTTCTTCGCCGGGAATCGAACCCGGGTCTACGGATTCGGGGACCGTTGTGCTAACCGTTGCACCACAGAAGAATTTTCTAACTATTCATAAGCACTGATGGACAGACATGTTAAAGATGTATCTCCTCATGTTTCAAATGCTTTTGTAATGTCTTTTTTATCTTCTATGGTTTAGATTAACATGAATTATCTTACTTATTATTATTATCGTTTTCATTATCATTATGATTATTATTACTGTTATCTTATAATTATCATTATCATCTTTATCATGAAATATTATTATTGTTGTTATTACTGGTACCAAGCAATGGCATGATATAATGAAAAGTTTCAACTTGAATTATCCGTTTGCTTTTTCAAAAACGGAAAACGAGTAACTGGCACCTAGATCATGAGCGCAGACGAGAACCCTCTCCGTTAAAAGACGCCGCCGTCATCGCAGTTCTCACAGCGGAAAGGCGGCTGACGAGCCGTCCAATTCTAGGCCATGTTCTCTACTCGACTGCTGTTTCAGGCAATAATCCTAGCAAAGATTTCTCTCCAAAATATGCGATTTTAGCGAAAGCCAAATAATGGAGAATGAAGGCTTGTTTTATGTCCTAAACTGAAACAGGAAAAATGGTGCAATTTTGATACCCTTTTCATGGGTTGCACATGGCCCACACGCACACACATACGTATAAACAAATACATACACATACTTAACAAGGGAAAAGTGATTTGGTTTGCTATTATTCTCTTCATATTATTTTATTTGTTGATGACATTTTTCTTTTCTTTTTTGACATTTACTATATCGCAATTTTAGGCGCACATTTTCTTTTTCTTTCTTTTTATCTTTTCAGGTGTGTGTGTCTGTGCGTGTGTATGTGTATATATGTATATAAATGCATATGTATATATATGTATATGTATATATGTGTATGTACACATGTATATATGTATACATATATGTATATGTATACATATATGTACATGTATACATATATGTACGTATATGTATACATATATGTACGTATATGTATACATATATGTATGTATATATATGTGTGTGTGTGTATAGATATATGTATATATATGTGTGCATATATATATGTATATAAATATGTGTATATATATGTATACATATATGTATGTATATATTCATATGTGTGTGTGTGTATAGATATATGTATATATATGTGTGCATATATATATGTATATATAATATGTATATATATGTATATATATACATGTGTATATATATATATATATATGTGTGTGTGTGTGTGTGTGTGTGTGTGTGTGTGTGTGTGGTGTGTGTGTGTGTATATGTATGTATATATATATATATATATATATATATATATTATATATATATATATATATATATATATTTATATATTTATTATTTTTCATTTATTATTTATTTATTTATAGATGCATATATATGTATATTTATGTATGTATATATGTATACGTATATATATGTATATATATGTATATATGTATATATATATATATATATATATATATATATATATATATATATATATATATATATATATATATATATATATGTAAATATATATGTATATATATATATATATACATATATATTTATATATACAAATAAACATATGGTTCAGAGCAGCCCTTTTGGCCGCTTGTTTACACCCGCGGCCGTCGCCACGCGATGCCGAATCGCCTTCATTTGCCTTTCACAGATTTCTTGATGAGTCGCAGTCGCGGTGGCTGGAACCGGTTTGGTTCCCTTGTCCCTTCGTATTCAGCTTCGTTGTCTTCCAGAAATTATTTGTTTTGGCTGACGATGTCAATAAGGTCCTTGGTACATGAAGATATTGATTAAGTACATGACTCCTTTTATTTTTATTCATGAAGGAGACGAGGACTAAAATTAAATGAGAAGTAAAATTAAATGAGATTAAGAATATAGATGCATATGTACTTCTGTTAAAATAATTGGATACACACGCAAATGCATACAAAGGGTTTGTAATCTACGAAATTGTTTTAATTCATATATTTGCTTATCAGAAATAAGATCTATTCTCTCCCTCGTGTCCCAAAGGCGCAATATCCCTTGGAGCTGCAGCGGCCATGGATTCCCAGCTCTGTCTCCCACTTCTCTTTGGAAGCACCTAAAGCCACAGGCATTGGTTGACGAGGTGGGTTGTCGTTATGGGCAGGAGAGAGAGAGAGAGAGAGAGAGAGAGAGAGAGAGAGAGAGAGAGAGAGAGAGAGAGAGAGAGAGAGAGAGAGAGAGAGAGAGAGAGAGAGAAAGAGAATGAGTCAGAGACCGAAAATAAGAAGCCCTTCGAATCCATACTTACCTTCACTCTCCCCAACTTCAGTCATGGCCACAACCGCTTGCGGGCAACATGTGGATGTTAAATTCCCGTGAAAAAATAAACCCGCGACAAGAGTGAAAACTGCACGAGCGCCAATCTGAGATCCGATTCCCGAAGGAGGCGACGAGATGGGATGCAATCGCTCACCTCTAAAAAAACAAGGAAACAACCAAAGCAACAGCGTCCTCCTCGGGCTATTTCCGCGGCGAGTCCCAACGCAACGATACTTTCCAGGTGTGCAGTTCGAAGGGAAGGAAGAGGAGGAGGAGGAGAGAGGAGACAGTGAAAGGAAAGATAGAAAGAGAAGGTGCAATAGAGAGGAGAGCGGGAGTAAATGAGGGGGTAGATAGCGAAGGTGAAGGAATATAAAGAAGAAATAGGAGTAGGAAGAAGGGAAGGTAGAATAGAGATAGTATAAAGGAAAGGCAGAGAAGAAGAAAGAGCAGGAATATATAGGAGGAAAGGAGAAAAAGGACGGAAACCTGAAACGGCGACAGAGATATAAAGGGAGGAAGAGTACAGCAGATTAATGTACAGATATTGACAGACAGACATTTAGAGAATCATATAGATAAGTACAGAGATGAGTAGATTGATAAATAGACGCAGCCACAATCACACATACATATTTTATAATTACTCATTCAGTGTTTTGATGAGAAAATCAATCTTTGTTATTTCTGGTTAGTTATCATTATTATTACGATATTATGGTTATTATTATTTTCTTATTCCCACTATTGTTTTTATCATTAGTATTGTTATTGTTATTATCATCATTGCTATCATTACTTTCATTATCATTATCATCATCGTCGTTCACTTGATCTTACTATCATTACTATTATTATTATTATTATTATTATAAATGAGAGAGAGAGAGAAGTAAGCGGCGAAATGATCGCTATGAAAGGAAAACATGAAAGATGGATACTCTTGATCCAAGCAAAAAGGATAATAAATTGCTGAAATACTTTACGAGGATGCAGAATAGGAAGGAGGTTCGGGAAATAGCGATGCATAACCTGGAAGCCTCACTTGGGGAGGCTGGGGCCAAGGGACCATCGCCCTGAGTGATCAGTTAGGAAAGATTTATGGTTAGCTTCGTTGCATGTATTGTGTCGCTATTTCTTGACTGTGATGTGTAGGGTGAATTAATGATTAGCTGTCTATTATAGTTACCTATAAAAGTCTATGCATTAAATTTCTCTTTCTCTCTTTTACTCTGTCTCGTTCTCTCCTTCTCTCGCTCCCTCTGGAAATCATTTCAAGAATAGGTAATGATATCATGAAATATAATATAAACACCAACGAGCATATTGAGAAGCACGCTCGCAAGAGGAATTATTTTTCATTCTGACATCACTTACCTTTCCCGTGAAAAAAAAAGTCGTTGGAAACTGGGTAAAAAATAAATTAATTAATTAATTTTAAAAAATGGCTTTGAGAACGAGCTGAATTCAAAAGGCGGTGAACCTTTTAAGAGATGGCATTTTTGCTGTCGGCAAACTTATATAGTTATCACAGATATTAATGTCTTATTATTTTATCGTTTTTATTATTTTTATCTCCTCTTCGGGTAATTATTTTTATGCCTGTCAGACCTTTGCTAACCAGTGCATTGGGAATTAAAAAAAAGTTATACTGATGAATGTTGACAGTAAGCGTAAGGATACCATTTCTATGAATAATTCGCACACACACACACACACACACACACACATATATATATATATATATATATATATATATATATATATATATATATATATATGTATGATAATATACACATATATATATAATAAATATAAATATATAATATATATATATATATATATATATATATATATATATATATATATATATATATATATATATATATGTATACATATATAAATATGCATAATGTATAAATATAAATATAATATATATATATAATATATATATATATATATATATATATATATATATATATATATATATATATATATATATATATAAACATATATATATATGTATATATATATATATATATATATATATATATATATTAATATATATATATATATATATATATATATATATATATATATATATATATATATATATATATATATATATATATATATATGCATATGTATATTATATATAGATAGATAGATAGACAGATATTTATGTGTGTGTGTATATATATATATATATATATATATATATATATATATATATATATATATATATATGAATATGTATATATGCATATTTATATGTAAATATAGATAGATAGATAGATAGATAGATATATCACAGATGCAACACCCGATGAAGTCTCTGAGAGTTTTTTTATTTCAAGCTTCTAAGTTTGTTGGCATTTTGCACTACTCATTGCAATTGTGATGACAGTTCCTATTTTTTCCAGTTGCAATACAAGCCAATCCATCACACCCACACAAGGGACAGAAGTTTTCGCAATGAAATATACATACAGCACTGACATCTTTTTCATCTGAGGACATTGCGATAGAAATCGAAGCCATGCGTTCTGCCCTCGCCCTCGCCCTCGCCCTCCCCCTCCCCCTCCCCCTCCCCCTCCCCCTCCCCCCCCTCCCTAGCACCCTTTTGTAAAAACAAAACAAATTCGAGTATTTCAAAGTGATTAGAACTACATGAATACATTTCTATAAAAAAGTACTAAGGATGACTGAAACAGCACAAGGTTGT